CAGCCAGGACGGAGAGAGAGGAGAGACAGCCAGGACAGAGAGAGAGGAGAGACCGCCAATAGATTTGATTTTATACATACATCTATTATCAAAATACAATTTTGTCAAGCCATTTTTCAGGTTACATAGTACATAAGACCTGATGAAGGGCGAGTGTGTGAACCCCCGAAATGTGTTGGCTGTCTTATACCACTGCTTATCAAATATAAAAAATGTGGACTCTTTGACCATTGGTGTGCCACCCTTACTGCATCTTACATATTGTACTCTTTATTGCTGTCTGTGTTCTTGCTGCAGATATTCCTTTAGTTCCTGTTAGGTGAAACTGTTGTCAGCAGAGAGGAAGTGAAGGGAAAGCTCTCTAATGAAGTCTTGGATAGCAGAAAAGCCCGACAGGGGTTCTAACCCCTCCCTAGTCTATCCAAAACTGAAAAACATACACTTTAAAGTGGACCTGTCATCACAACTAACACTTCACATAATTTTGCACAAAATATACCGACACCCATTCTTGTTTTGAGTACAAAATTTTTTTCTCAATAAATAATAAAAAAGGTGCTCACAAGCTCTCTCAGGCTACTTTGAAGCCTCGGGGAAGATCACATATTATCTGGCTACCAAGAGCTTTGTTAGGGTTTCATGTCATTTGTTTGAGGCAATGGATAGGCTACTGTTGTTATTCAGGCAGGCTTGCAAAGAGTGAAGATGATTACCAGATACATACACTGTACAGAGCTGCTAAGCAGGAAGAAGAGCCTGCATATGCAATAATTGATGCAAAGTACATGTATACAGTATTTACAAACTATATGCTGTACATTGAAACAATTTATTTCACTTCCGTAAAATGCCTTAATAAGATTAATTACATTAAGTTAATCTCTTGAGGAAAATTGTTCCTCTTGCACTTTTTGCAGTATTGAAATCGGCTTTTCTTATGCTGGTATATGAAATGATAACAAAAACTTGGAAGGAATGATTACAGTAGGTTCTAGCAGGGGTTATGTTGTGCAACCCTTCAGGCTCTTATCTTTTTTCTTAGCGTTATTAAACAGCAAATACTTTGTTTAGACCATATTTTGTGCTGTAACTGTACTGTTGAGCAGTGTAGCCTAAAGTAGAACTCCAACAAAAATCATCATCTATCTGCACATTCATGTTCCTTTGATTATGTAGATAATAAGGGTACATTCACACTATGCGACTAGGGCTGGAATCCCAACTCTCCCATTTAGCTGTGGCCGCTGTCACCCATTCAAGTTAAGGAGCAAGTGACATCGGCCGCATCTGGGAGTTGCAGTCTGCATATAATCGTATGTGACAGATGCAGGATAGATGCATCTAGGAACAGTGATTTATTCCAAATCATATGTAATCGTATCACATACGATTACATGCAGACTAACACTTGCACATGCAGCCGCTGCCACCAAGTCATTAACTTGAACATGTGACAGTGGCTGCATCTAAATGGGAGATTTGGGATTCCTGCTGCAGGAATTCCTGGGTTTCTGCTGCAGGAATCCCAAATTGCATGGTGTGAATGAGGATATTCATGAACATTTCCCTTTAGTTTGTCACATGTATGTGCTAGTGCTTCTGGAATTCCTGGGTTTCCTGTAGAGAGCTTCAACGATAATGCGCTTCTGTTGAATTTGCAGAAGTCTTATAGCCCTTCGAGTCTGATGGTGACATGGTCATGCCACCTTCTGCAACCTAGAGGTGTTGGCAGCTTGGAGAATTAGCTTTTACTGTCTCCATGGTAGCTACCGGAAAGAAGTGGAATAAAATCTGATAGACCTGCAAGGTTTATCCTGTTGGTGTGGCTGGCCAATTGGGATGTGAAAAAGTCTTTATAGGTGGTCTGACTACCGGACAGGCAGCTAGTAGAGCCCAGAGGGTCTCCACTGTCAAATTGCAGGAATTGAAGCTCCACACTCTGTATTATAGTTCAGATACGGGAAGTGAGTGAACACATACCGTTGCTTGCTCACTTCCCGATCATCTTCCTGCAGAGAGCGGTGACTAACAGTCACCTCTCCCCGCAGGGATTCCTCCCCCCCCCCTCTGTGATCCTTCAGCGCTGACTGGGGGAATGGACGTGGTAGGGGGTGGGCACAGCTGGCTCGGCCTCTAGATAGGCAGAGCCAGCTGTCAATCAATATTGTCGGGATCCGTCCCGGGTGAGGCACTCTCAGTGTATAGCGGTAGTATATGTCCTTCCGTGGCCCTAAATGGAACTATGGGATAAAAAGGTTACCCCATAGTTATCTTTTAAGGGCCCATTCACACCAGACGCTGCCCTAATCGCACTGTGTACTTTTTTTTTGTTAGAACTTTATTGAAATGTCACAAGTGACATCCTGCAGCGCTGAAAAAAGTAAGGCATGCACCAATGTGCCTACTGCAAAGCAGTGGTGTGAATGCACACCATCTGTGACAAGGCAATTTACCTTGTCTTGCGTTGGGCTGCCCTGGAAACAATGGCCAGTGCAGCTCCAACACATAAATTATATGTCAAGCCAAAACATTTTCTTTCTTCTAGTTTTGGATAGAATGGGGAAAGATTAGATTTCCTGTCAAGTTTATTTTGCTACCCTGGGCTCCATTAGATATATAACCTGTCTTCCTTGCAAAGGTTTAATCAGACAGGAAGTGAGGGTAAATCTGCAACTCGCACATAGACAAGGGTTCTAATTTACCCTTACTCTACTTCAGAAATGCATTTCTATTTCTGTCTGTGATGCTGCTGAAATGTTCCCCTCACTTCCTGTCTGGCGAAGCGTTGTCAGCAGGACAGGAAATCAGGGTAAAGCTCTCTAAGGGAACTGCGGATAGCAGTACAAACCTGATGATGGTTCTAACCCTTCCCTACTCAATCCAAAACTAAGAATAAAAAATGGGTGGACGTTCACTTTAAAGCTGAATTCAAGCTTGAGCACCCCCCCCCCCCCCCGGGGGGGGGGACACCACATTCTAGATTATAACAC